CAGAATTGTACCAGTTTAGCTAAAGGTGTAACTTTAAACCTGATTAGTTAGACCTGTGCGAACACAGTGTAAACACCTTAATCTGATTTAAACCTTGCTTATTTTGATTTAGCTTAATTAAATAAGGAATCAATAAGATACATTAATATAAATTTGATTTAAATCAAATGAAGAACACCCACTCTGTTTTGTACTGGCTTAAGGAAATCAGTTTTAAACTGAATTAAAATTAAATTTGTACATCTTTGAATAGAGACAATTCTTTAGTAAAAACTTTACTTAAATAACTCAGTTGTTGACTGGGATCATTGATTCTATTTCCATTTTTCTTTTTAGAATGCTGACATGAATTCTTAACAGATCTAAGGTTTCCTTTGGATACACAAACTATCATTCCACAGTTTAAACAGGTTTTTGGAAAATGGTATAAAACCTGTTGCATCTACTTAATTCCCTTTCTTTACTGTTCACTTTTGCTCTGTCTGTTCCCAGAAAGTTAATATTGTTTATGTTCTAGAAGTTTAAGTGAGAGAGGTGGGATCATTAAGGATGCTGGATTAAGGTTCTTATGGCATGCAAAGGGAGAATACTGCATATGTAGGTTTTGCTTACGAATAAGGGATGTGTATGTGTGATGGGCAAGCATGCCTCACTATCCATTCCAAAGAAAATCTTGTTGATAATCTGGCAGTTTAGGTAGGAACCAATGTCTCGACTATCTTGAGTAATTGCAAACACGGTGGTGTCTAGAACAAAATCATCAGAGGTAAATCAATTGCTATGCCTTCTCTTGTATTTTTAATATTGTAACAGAAGTCCAGAGAAATTAGAACTAATGTGGCAGTATTTTGCCTGCATAACTACTAGACAAAGTCCTGGAAGAACACTTATGCTGTTCTATAATAAAGCTTCTTCTCAATGACTGCAGCTTTTGGTTCAAATGGACAGTTCTACACAAAGTATCATACAAGTTGTCAGTAATGGAAAATTTTAAGGTAGGTGTACTGTATATGTAGTCCTAGAGAAAATTTTACTGTAACAATACTCTAATTGTTAGTGTAACTGTAACAATAGCTCTAATCTGTAAAATTCCTCCCTTATTTTACTAGATTTCAAATCTCAAATCATGTAGCATTAGTAAACTCTAATCACTTAGTCTAAATATATTTCTGTAGCTCCTAAAGTTCATAAACCTTCCTATTTTTATTCCCAATTGTTTGGGTTTCCTGTTGGGTAAGTATTGTGTACAATACCTCGTAATGCTATCATAACATTCATTTTAGCAGACCGTTGAAAATATTCTTTAATCTGCAAAATTTTATCAAACCTAATTTAACATTTTTATCTTTAAAAACAAAAGGACATGATTGCACTGATCGTACGGTTCACTAACTCTTGTACTAGGCACATTCAAAACCGCACGATTGTATGCGATTGTGACTATGAATTACTGTCTTGTACTTCCAAAGTAATTCACAGTTTTAAAACACTCTCCAGGCATTTAAAAATGCTTAAAATAATCGTGGGAGATAAGTAAATATCGTTGTTCCGTTTGCGTGCATGTGCCTATGTATGGAATTTTTGTGATCTATCTCAGTGTGGTTTCACCACTGATGCTGTGCCACCTGTGGCAGTGATGATGAAAGTGCTAGCGTGGAAATGGCAGCGGCTTTTCATGCTCTCTTCGCGAGCACTTCCCCTAAGGTGAGCACTGACAACACAGATGCACTGCTTCAAGACCAGAGGTGAGAGAAGTGTTAGTATAGACCTTTTAACTTTCAGATGCGCTAATGAGAGTCTTATAAGTATGTAGATAGTTTTGAGGGGCACGCTTTCCATGCCTTCTGCATGTGACGTCGATGAACAAGTCTGAGCAACAGAAAGTGTTCCTCTTGCATCTGTAGTGAAGTTGGGTGTAATTTAAGAACATTCTACATGTGCTTGCTGTGCACCCCTTCTTGGTTAGAAAATGAATCCTCTTCTGAAATCTTTCTTTGCTACTTTATTTTGTGTTCAATAAATTTAAATATGCAGTGGCTTTTTAATTGGATCAGTCAGAATTTTCCTATCTCCTTCAAACCAAAACCTTGTTTGGTACTAAAACAAAACTTTTGGGTTTTTTTGTGTGTGCATATCTTCTACCTGTTGTGCAGAAGAAATAATCAGTGTCTCTGGGAAACATCTAGACCACAAGTAAGTAGGAGAACAAACTAGGATTTTGTTAATATTGTTTTGAATATTGCCCAACTTAGTTTGTTTCCCATCATGTTTACAAACATGATAATGTATTATATTCCCTGCATTTTGAAAATGAGTGGAACACTTTCACATAGAAGTATTGTATAATGCAGAGTGCTGCTATAAAAGTGTGAAAAATACTTTTTTTTTTAAGTTGAGAGAGGGTTTGAGGAGAGCAAGACCCAGACACTACTATAGAGTCATTATATTTTCCCATTTGTATTTGTAAAGTTGACATCGGGCCTAAAGCTTTGGGAAATTATGAAAGATTTCACTGTTTTTATGTAAAAAGATAAGCAATGTCTTGCAGGCCACCTTGGGGACAGTTAACAGTAAGTCTAGTTTCTTTATTCTGAAAAGAACATAGGCGGTCATGGTAGATAACGAAACAAACATGAGCTGCCAGTGTGATGTGATGGCTAAAAGGGATAAAGATCACTTTGGATGCTCAAAGGAACATTGAGTAGGAATACTGAATTGATATTACTTTTATATATGGCATTGGTGAAACCACTACTGGAATGCTCTGGCCAATTTTGGTATCAGTACTTCAGAGATGGTCCTGAAAAACTGAAGAGGGTACAAAAAAGAGCCAAGACTGGTTTGAGGTCTGGAGAATACACCTTCCAGTGAGAGACTTAATAAACTAAGTAGATTGTTTCATGAAGCAAAGGTTAAGAGACAAGTTGGTAAGTTTGTATTAACACTGAGAGACTATATCTGATACTTCAGGGCTTTTAAATCCAACGTACAAAGGCTTAAAAAGATTCAGTGTTGGACTTTTGAAAGTTGAAGCTAATTAAATTGAAACGATAACTAAGGCTTACATTTTTTTATCATTGAGGGTAATGAGCCATTGGACCAACTCACCGATGGATGTTTTAGATAATCTGTCAACTGAAGTCTTTAAACTGAGAAGGCTGTCTTTTTTAAAAAGATAGGAGTTTTTGCAGGAACTACTGGAGGAAGTTCAATGATCTGTGTTATATGGAAGGTCAGACTGATGACCATTAGGATTCCTGCTGGCCATAAAATGTCTGCATTTATAAATGTTGTCCAAATTCTGATCTTTTATAGGAGACTGTACATCAGATATTGCACATTTGTGCACAAATTTGGAAGCTGATTTTAGGCTGTATGTAGTGATACGGATATCAGGGGAGGGATAGGTCAGTGGTTTGAGCATTGACCTCCTAAACCCAGGGTTGTGAGTTCAATCCTTGAGGGGGCCATTTAGGGATCTGGGGCAAAAAATTGGGGATTGGTCCTGCTTTGAGCAGGGGGTTGGACTAGATGATTTCCTAAGGTCCCTTCCAACCGTGATAGCCTATGATTCTATGGATCACTTATATTATATTGGAATTGTTTATATTTAACTAATGTTTGTATTGTGAATATTTAGTTAATGTTTATCTTTATAAAATTAACTTTACTTTTGTGACTGAGTTGATTACATTACATTACATATAACATTGAGTTATATCTTTTTTATTTGAGCCATTTAGAAACTATTAGGGAATACATTGTGTGAGGGTTTCAACAACTGCTGGAATGATGCTGTGGGAAGTCAAACTGGATAAAAATCTACACCCTTGGTTCTGTCTGGGTTACTTTTGCCTTTGTATTGGTTTTCTTAAATTCTTGGTAGTTTTGATGTTCCAGAGCAATACAAATGTTGAATCCATGATGCAGTGGTACTCAACCAAGGGTCATGAAAAGGTTTCAGGGGGTCCACCAAGCATGGCTGGCATTAGAATTGCTAGGGTTACAGGGCAGAAAGCCAGAGCCCCGTCGCACAGGACTGCAGCCCCGAGCCCCACCACCCAGGGCTGAAGCCGGAGCAACTTAGCTTTGTGGTGCCCCCTTTGGCGTGGGGCCCCGGGCAATTGCCCTGCTTGCTGCCCCTTAATGCCATCCCTGGCTTTTATATGTAGAAAAACGGTTGTGGCACAACTGGGCTGTGGAGTTTTATAGCAAATTTGGGGGGTGGGGGTGTTAGAAAGAAAAAGGTCAAGAAGCTCTGGTGCAGTGAATAGTAGGAAGAATGACTATTTACCAGTACTCTATTGAATGTTATCACTTGCGTATTAGTTTGTCGAGCAGTTGCTGCAGAAGTAGTATGATATTCAAAATACTCAGTTAGTAATTTTGCCACTGCTACTTGTGTGTATCCTTCATTCTAGGAATATCAAAATGCTTCACAAACCTATTGTGATTGCCTGTTTCCGGGCAGAGCAGGGTAATTTATGTTGGCCTAAGATAATAGAATTTCGTGAACAGTTGTGCATTGGCAGTTGAAAAAGTTACTTTTTCTTTTACATTTGAGCTGCTATGGATAGCAAATTATACTGCTTTGACATTCTAAAAACTTGGATGCTATAAAGTTTCCAATAAATGTGAACAGCAATGAATTCCAGCTCTGTTCTCACATTGTTACTGCAGTACGGCGGTGGGGGGGGGAAGGGGACTGGCAGGACTGCATGCCATCATAATTAAATAGTTAAACACAGAACTTCAAGGGAGAAGCTGTCTCACCTGTTTTGGGAGTAGCTGTCAGCATACTTTCTAAATTAAATGTTCATTTTCTTTGTACATTTTAGTTTTCATTTACTTAAAATTACTATTGCATACCCAAGTGTTATAACTATTTAATCTTGGTCAAATCAGAGGTTTGATATAGTCAAAGCACATACTAAATAGCATTAATTGCATTGTAAACTATGCATCTTTTGAGTTTATTTTCATTTTTTATATTTTTACAGGATTACAAAGCCATTAACATTTGCTGACTGTGTTGGCGATGAACTTCCTTTAGGATGGGAAACTGTTTATGATCAACAGATTGGAATTTATTACATGGACCATATAAATCGTGAGTAGAAGTGGAATTGGTTTTATGAACATTCACAAGCGGATATCTATAGTTGAACCAAGAGTGATTAAGATGACATTTATTGAACTTCCAGCTACTGTGAGAAGTCCTGGGCAAGTTACTTCTTGCAGTGTTTCATATGTCAAATGGCAATAATGCCCTCCTTTTGTAAGGTGCTTTTAAGATCTATGGATGAAAAATGGTTGTATGTGAAATCATTATTACTGTTGTGATGTAATGTAAAGGGTTATCTAAACAGCCCTTGTTGAAATAAGTCAAGTTTATAATTTCATTTTAATATTTATATTCAGCAAGAATTTCCAATATTCCTAATCAGTACTTCAGGTTCTCGTTTTGACAAAAGAGTATCGAAGGAGCATGTCAAAAAGTGATACAAATGCTAATGCTGGTGAAGTGTCAGCATTTTCAGACTGCATTTTGTGTGTGTTGTATACGTTTCCAGTAGTCCATAGTTTGCTCCCTTACAAAAGAACCCACAACGCCCAAAACAGGCTGAGAGTAAGTGTGTGGTGTTTTTCATCGTAGCAGCTATTTCGCATAATTTTAAGATTATTGATTGATATATTTATCATATCTTTTTTATTTAATTTGGCAATCTCATCCTGTCCTACGCATTGCATATTTTATGCTTCCACATAGTAAATCAGTGGGCTTAGAACAACAACTGGATATATACATTACGCACTGTTGCTGAGCTTCATATAACCACTGTCTAGCACATTTGCCAATTATACTTTTTAAAGTATATATCTTATCTTTATAGCTGTATATTATTGCCACTGGTACTATTGTGCTGCCATCATTAAGCTGCTTATCACTAATGAGCGAATGCTTTCAGAATTGTGCAAATTGGCAGCTAGCTGGTAAGAAAAGAAGAAAGGCACAGTAGCAGCAGTAACATCAGTGGTAAATAGCACTCTCTGCAAAACTAATTTCAACCATCTCTTCGGAATCTAGTTAATTTAAACTAATAGTTTCAGGTGTTATACCAGCTTCTGAACTGCTCTGCATATTTTTGTGGTTTTCACAAAAACATTTTTCACCTGATTTTGGTGTGTGAAAGATCCATACACAGACATTTCTTCCCTCTAAGAACAAAAACCTTTAAAGAGATTTTAATGCAGTCACTGGAAGGATAAATAACCTAGTGAGTATTTCAAGATACATTGAAAAATCATAGTGCAGGTGCTTGTGTAATTCTTAAGGTACTTACTGTTAAGAATATTGCTCATATAATTTTTATTTGAGCTGTCAGGACAACTTTTATAGAAGATAGAGCTTTATCTCAGACCGTAATAGAACACCATAGAAACACACACACTGTACATATAAACACAGTGTCAATAATTCTGAATATTGTCACAGGTTTCTTTACTTTGTAAAGGACTTACCGGTATAGTAGATAATGAACTAAACACAACATCCCATTGGGATGCTGTGGCTAAAAAGGCTAATAAAGCATCCAATTAATAGGATTCCTTTGTTAAGAACTAAATTCTCCATGCTATGGTATAAGGGATCTGTTATTTTTTTGTTTCAGTTTTTTAAGCTTGATCCTAATGCAGGGGTAGAATTTATGGGGGCATTATTCAGTAACCATTGGGGATGCAATGACAGGTGAATGCATTGATGGTATAAGAATCAAGGAGAGGTTCTAGTGGAAAGAATCTCTTACTCTGGGGGTTCTGAATCTACCTAAAATATTTGCCACAGTAGCTATCAGGTAACAGTATCCAGTAGGAGAACAGGATCACTCCTTGATTAGGCTTTTTTCCATTCTTCTTTCCTAATGGCCTGGTTGTATGCCCTCTCCAGCAGCTAGAGCTTAGTGTATCAGTAGACACCGCGGCAGAAATTAATGTAATAGTTACAGAAATGTTGGGAGAAAATGCAAGAGAGGTTTCAAATCAGTGCTTTTTAAAGTCCACACATTGTAGAAACCTCCCAAGCTATGTACACCCAAATCCTTTCTTTCCTTCCACTCTTCAAAATAGAGCAGCTGTGCATATCACTCTTGTAAGCCTCCTGTCTTGATAGCTTTACCCAAGAAAGAGGAACACAAGCTGGGCTGTGATGTAAAGGATTCTGGTCAATGACTTTCCATTTACATTAGGAAACCCAAGAGGAAAAGCAATCCTCTGTAAATCACAGAGCTACCTTCAGAGCCAGCCCTGATCTCCATCTCGTCCTGTTAATTCTGGACTTGGTTGACACCCTCGGTAAGCTAGTGTTGGCGCCTATCCAACCATTTCTTAAGAAGCTTCAGTGGCTGCCAACCACAGAATTCCTTTCCCCTCCTCCTCTGAGTTTTCAGAGCCTTTGAAGTCTCCTTTAACCAGTTGCACATTTCCCAGTTTTGGGAATAACATATTCCATGTTCTTGGCCAGCCAGGGCTGTGCTTGAATGACTATAAAAATTTCAGTCAGCTCTAAAGAAACTAAATTAGTAGCTATCCAAATCTAAAACACCTTCAGTTTCAGTTTCTCTGTGGTAACTGGGTACAGTCTGTGCTCCATGCACTTATTCCAGGCCAGAGTACAGTGCAGTGTTCCACAGAAGACTGTCAGTGTTGTACTTAATAGGAAGTGTTGCTCTTTCTGCATGGAATACAAGATGATGATGAAGATTTTTGGTCACTTAGCAGGTTTTGCAGTGCCTCAAAATGTACAGACTCCTATTCTCAAGGGCTATGTGTGATGCATTTTAACCTTTCCTGTTACCTGGGATTAGAATTGGAACATTGTGAAGAGCCATTTATTGGGGAATCATAGTTCTAAACCACTTTAAATATTTTCACTTTTTTAATTCCTGAAAATCTTTTTTGTTTAGGCGATTACTTTTCAAATGCTTTGCGAACAACAGAGCTGCTTGTATGCAGTTTTTATTTTTGGGGGCTCAATCACTGTAGTCTCTGATTTCACAGCACAAACAGAAATATTTAAATAGCTTTAAGTCCTATTATTAGTACCAACAAAAGAGTTGTCTTTCCCCTTTCCTATCATAGCAACAGCAAAATCGGAGTTTTTAGGGGGGAAAATTAACTGAAAACATCTTCTTTGCTTGTACTGAGTATCTGTCTTATGGCTTATTCTACATTCCTCAAAATAGCCTGTGGTGTGATGTTTCAAAAATCACTTTATTAGTACATTTGGAACTCATAACAGAAATACTTCCTATGGTATAGTTAACCTGTGGAATACCCTACTGCGGGGTTTACTGTGGCTAAAGTTTTTTTAAAAAGGACTAAATGATTTTGACAACTATTTACTGCACTTGTGCACATTAAGATAATGATATAACTTGAACCACAGAGATTGATTTATGTGGTGGCAATGGAACAGCAATGCAGATAAGGTATAAGCATATTTACTACCATACTGACTAACCCTGTTCTGAAGTATGATGGTAAGATGCATGCCCCCTGGCTGTAGTACAGGTTGCACAATTACTACCAACAGTGGAGCTGCAGTAATGGTGATTTATGCATCTGATTTTTGTAAACACAGCCATAGGAGGCTGGCATTCGCATATGCAGCGGACTCTGCACAGGCAGGATGATGTAAAACTTCTCTTCCCGCCCCCCGCCCCCCCCCCGGACACCCCAGAAAAATCTGTTTTTTCAGGGTTTTTGGGTTCTATTTTTTTGAATTTGTGGGCCACCGAAGTGTTTGCAGGAACATAACATATTGAAAACTTTTTTATTCTATAAACATATATTTGAAAGAGTTTCTTGATACTAGAAACAAGCTTTACTTTTCAGTCTGTGACTGTAAACATTAGCTGTTCTCAAACGTTTAAAGGGTAGTGATGAGAACATCAAGGATCTTGTTATGACTGTTAGGATAGAAGAAAGTTAAAATTAAGCATGTGTTAAAGTGATTTCCTGAATCTGGGCCCAAAACACTAATCTTGGTAGCTAACTTCATTGTTCACTGTTTGACCGTGCAGGCATAAAGATAACATAAATAGCCTTTCAGGATGTTTTGTTTCTCTTGCACCTTTCTGGAGGCTAAATGTGAAATCTCTGAACTGTTCCTACCACCCACTGAGTTAAGGCTTGGGATATTGATTTGGCTCTCTTAGTTGGCTGTGGGTTGTATTGTGGTTAGGCCATCAGAATGGTCTAATTTGTCATCTTAAAACAAGTTGACTGAGTAAGATCATTTAGGGCTGAAAAATTAGTTTTCTTTTTAACCTCATCTCTAAGAATAAAAGACTCAAATATAAGTGACAGTGCAGTCACTCTTTTCTCTCTTTGCTGGAGTGATGTTGAACTTCGTGTTGAATTGAGTATACTAGATGGTTTAGAGACAGACTTCACCTGGATTCTTTGAGCACATTTCCTGTGGTCATGAACTATCAGTGTAGGTATTGAGATTTGACATTGAGAAAGTACTTGTAATTAGTGGAGTAACAGGACTTAAGTTTTTCTCCTCAGAGCTCACACAAATTGAGGACCCAAGAGAGCAGTGGCGAAGAGAACAGGAACGCATGTTAAAGGAATATTTAATTGTTGCCCAGGAGGCACTTAATGCCAAGAAAGAGATTTACCAAATTAAACAGCAGCGTTTTGAGCTAGCGCAAGAAGAATACCAGCAGCTGCATAAATTGTGTGAGGATGACAGCCGTTCCTATGCAAGTGGTGAGTTTACTTTCATTCTCTTGCTAATACATTTTTTCCACTATTCAGTTTTTACACACAATCTGAGAGCTTGCTTCCATCATGCTCTTTTTAGTGATGTAAAAGTTTAAACTACTCATGAAATTGCTGAGATTCTTGGAAGAAATTGCAATCTTAAAAGAAAATAACCCTCTCCAAAGACAGTTTCCTGCAATATAACTAGCAGTTTCATTTTAATGAACTTGTAGTTTTGAAAAGTAAGTTCTATCTTTACTTAGAGCAGAAGGCTAATCTTTTTATCCATCTGCAGAATATTGAAAGCATTATTGTAGCAATGAGAGTAGAAATAGGACAACTCTAGTTTCTCCTTCTCAGGCTCTATGAATGTGAAAGTCATGTGTTACATTAATGAAAAGCCCCTACTTCACTGGAATATTTTAAAGTATGTTTGGATTCTGCTTACGTGCATGCACTCCAGTTCTTCTTTGAGTGATTGCTCATGTGTATTCCACAATAGGTATGCGTGCTTGCCACGTGCGCTGGTGCCGGAAATTTTTCCCCTAGCAGTACCCGTAGGGGGAGTGCCCCCTTGCCACCCTGGAGCAGCGCCTGCCTGGCGTGGTATAAGGGGAGCTGCACTGTCCCCCCCATCCTCCGTTCCTTCTTGCCGCCAGTGATGGTGCGTCGGAACTGCTTAGCTCCAGCTTTGCTGCAGCTCGTCCCCAGAACTCTTCATTTGTTCAGTAGTAACCTGAAGTCAGTTAGCTAATTCAGGTAGTTTAGTTAGTCATTGAGCCCCAGCCGGGGCATACCCCGCACCACAGGCTTTAAGTCAAGCGGCTCTTGTAGGCGCTCTATGCCAAGAAGTGACCCACACGCGGATTGTCTGTGTTGCTTGGGAGAAACCCATATCAGCGAAAGGTGCAAGATCTGCAAGTCTTTCAAGCCCCGGACCAAAAAATAAAGGGACATTAGGCTCCAGGCCATCCTGATGGAATCGGCGTTGGCCCCGACCCCAGCACACCGCTCCAAACCGGTACCCGGCACCGCAGCATTGGTACGTGGAGACCCTCTGGTACCATCGTCCAGTCAGCACCGCTCTCTGTCCATGGGGCATGCCAAGAGGACTGGAAAGACTCCCTCTTTGCAACGGCACCCAGGGAAGTCTGGGACAGAGTCTAGGCCCATGTCGGGTAGTCCTCGACTCCCATCAGGCCCTAGGCCTCCGACTCACGTTGAGTGGAGTAGCCTGGCCCCTTTGGAGCAGGCCTCTCTGGATATCTGGATGCCATCTACGCCCAAAGCCCTCCAGTCAGCCAAGGACGTCATGTCCATGCCAGTGCCCAGAGGTCCGCCGATGTCGGCCTCACGCTCCAGGGGCAAGCTGCCGCTGGGATCACTGCAGTCGCCACTGGCCTGGTACCGGTCTTGGTCGGGGGAGCGTTCCCAACACCGCTCACCGTCCAGGGCTCAGTCCATGTGGATCGCCCTTGATGCCAGCCAGACTGTCTGGATGGGTGCCGTCTGACTGGGACTCCTGGCACCGCTCGTCTTCGCGAAGCGAATACCGACGGGACTGTGGCAGACGTCGCCAACGATCCTCGTCTTGCAGGAGATACCGAAGTCAGTCATGGCATGATTGTCGACGCCATTCCCGCTCGGACTTCCGTTCCAAGTTTCCGCCAAGGCACTGTAGCCCAGGGTGTCGATTGCTGGCGTGTGGCCGACATGGGTCTGCCCTTTGAGGCCGTTTGCAGAGCAGCTACTACGGTTGGTGCTGCTCCTCTCTCGAGATCGCGGTCCCGTGGCCAACGTAGATCTTGGCACCACCGATAGTCCCAGTCCAGAGGCACCAGCGGATCATATGCCAGCCAGGCCTCTCCTCACAGCTGCCTGTCTACAGGCCAAGCTAGCCAGCCTGAACAGCCGGCCCCGACGGTTCCTCAGCAAGGCAATGGCACCAAGCATCGTGGCTGGCCCAGTGGTACCAGTGGGCACTGGCCTACGATGCAGCCCCCAGGTGGAGGCTCGCTCGGTGGCCCGGGCCTTGGAAATACCGTCGGCGTCCACCTTTAGACCACCAGAAAAAAGGTTGGTGGGACCTGTGTCCTCGGTACCGTGCCCGGAGTCTGATCAGGTGGTGGATCCTCCAGTGCCGGACGACACCCAAAGCACTGCACCGGCCTTGCCCTGTCCGAAGGAGCTGATTGCAGCCCCCCCCCCGCCCTCACCGTCCCGCAGGAGGATTACTGGGCCCACCAAGACCTCCTACATAGGGTGGCAGCAAGTCTCCACCTCCAGGCTGAGGAGATGGAAGAGCCCTCAGACTCCCTGTTGAATATGCTGTCCCCTTCAGCACCAGGCATGAAGGGGTGGCAAGAATTTCAAATGCCCTGTGACAAACACCAGCCTTGTTGGCTCCCATTTCTAAAAAGGCAGAGCGCAAGTACTTTGTACCCACGAAGGGACATGAGTATCTGTATACCCACCCGGCGCCTAACTCCTTGGTGGTCGAGTCAGTCAACCACAGGAAGCGGCAGGGGCAACCAGCCCCGACCCCCAAGAACAAAGACTCTCGGAGGCTGGATACTTTTGGGGGAAAAGTTTATTCGTTGTCAAGCTTTCAGCTATGAGTAGCAAACCATCGGGCTCTCCTGGGTCGCTGCGAGTTTAACCTCTGGGAATCCCTTCCCAAGTTTGAGGACTCCTTCAGGAGCGCGATAAGAAAGAGTTTAAGACATGCTCCATTCAGGGACAGGGCCCCGTTGTTGGAGCTGGTGTCCGACGCGTCGGACCTGGGTTGGGTGCCTAACTTTCAGACCCAAGGCCTGTGGTCTCTACAAGACCTATCCCTTCATATAAACATCAAGGAACTCAGGGCGGTGTAACTGGCGTGTATGGCCTTCTACTCGCAGCTGGAGGGCTAGGTAGTCAGGGTCCTCATGGACAACATGGCCTCGATGTTCTATATCTACAGGCAAGGTGGGGCCTGATCCTCTGCCCTCTGCCACGAAGCGCTCAGTCTGTGGGACTTCTGTATAACCCATGACATCTACCTAAAAGCCTTCCAACTGCCGGGCGCCCGGAATGTCAGGGTGGATCACTTGAGCAGGAATTTTTCCTCTCAGCATGAGTGGTCTCTACACCTGGAAGTGGCTCACCAGCTTTTCCAAAGGTGGGGCACTCCCCAGGTGGACCTATCTGTGACCAGGCAGAACCGATGATGCCCCTGGTTCTGCTACGGGGGGGCCTAGGGAGGGGTGCTATCTCCAATGTCTTTACCCTGTCCTGGTCAGGTCAGCTCCTCTACGGCTTTCCCCTGTTTCCTCTGATCAGCAAGGCCCTGGAGAAAATAAAGACGGACAAAGCCAGGGTTCTCCTTGTTGCCCTGCTGTGGCCCAGGCAGCACTGGTATGGGACCCTCTTGGGGCTGGTGGTAGCTCCGCCATGGCAGTGCCACTCCGCCCAGACCTGCTCTCTCAGGACCAGGGCCGCCTCCTCCATCCCAACCGAGCAATGCTTCACCTCACGGCATGGCTGCTCAGTGGCTAGGTGGCGAGGAAAGGACATGCTCAGAACAGGTTCAGCATGTCCTCCTCGAAAGTAGATGGCCCTCTACTTGCCGCTTCCTATGTGGTGAAGTGGTCTTGGTTTTCAAGGTGGGCAGCAGGCCAGGGTGTTTCCCCGATGGCTGCCCCGATCCAGCTTATCCTTGGTTACCTCCTCCACCTGAGGGCCCAGGGACTGGCTCCCTCGTCAGTCAGGGTACACTTGGCAGCCATATCGGCCTTTCATCCCCCGGTGCAAGGGCACACAGTGTTTTCCCATGCTATGGCCGCTTCCTTAAGGATTTGGACCATCTCTACCTATAGTCCAAGCCCCTGGTTCCACAGTGGGACCGAAACCTGGTGCTGGCTCGTCTCACGGGAGGCCCTGTTTGAACCACTGGCCACGTGTTTCTGGTCTCACTTCTCGTGGAAGGTGACCTTCCTGGTAGCTGTCACGTCGGCCAGGCGGTTCTTGGAGCTCAGGGACCTAACCTGTGAACCACCGTATATGGTTTTTCATAAGGACAAGGTCCAGCTCCGCCCACACCCTGCGTTCCTCCCGAAGGTGGTCTCCGCCTACCACATGGGTTAGGATGTTTTTCTGTCAGTCCTCTGCCCCAAGCCTCATGTGACTAGTGAGGAATGCTGTCTCCACACGCTCGACATGAGGCAAGCTCTGGCTTTCTACCTCGAGTGGACCAAGCCATTCAGAAAATCTTCGCAACTGTTTGTCGCCTCGGCTGAGTGCGCAAAGGGTCAGCCGATTGCCGCTCAGCGGCTTTCTAAGTGGATCACTTCATGCATCCGTTCCTGTTATGAGCTGGTGGGGGTTCCCCCGTCGCCCATTGTGAGGGCACACTCAACTTGGGCGCAGGTCTCGTCGGCTGACTTCGTGGCCTATGTCCCCCATCCAGGACATTTGTAGGGCTGCCACGTGGTCTTTGGTTCACACGTTCACCTCGCACTATGCGATCGTCTCTCAGGCCAGGGATGATGCCAGGTTCGGCAGGGCAGTACACCGTCCCAAGAACTTGTGAACTCCTACCCACCTCCAACAGATATAGCTTGGAATCACCTATTGTGGAATACATATGAGCAATCACTCGAAGAAGAAAAGACCATTACCTTTTCCATAACTGGTGTTCTTCGAGATGTGTTGCTCATGTCTATTCCACATTCCGCCTTCCTTCCCCTCTGTCGGAGTTGTCTGGCAAGAAGGAACTGAGGGTGGGGGGAGCGCAGCCCCCCTTATACCGTGCCAGGCAGGCGCCGCTCCAGGGGTCGCGGGGGGGAGGCGCTCCCCCCTACGGGTACTGCTCGGGGAAAAACTTCCGGCACTGCTGCACGTGACGAGCATGCACACCTATTGTGGAATAGACATGAGCAACATCTCCAAGAACACCAGTTACGGAAAAGGTAACTGTCTTTTTCTAAAGTTACTGTTTGCTCTAGAGAAGACAGTGCCTTCTGCAC